TTTGAATAATTTTTTTCCTTTATGTGTATTACTTATACAAATACATGGATCTTATATAAATTATAAATGAACAACCTCGTGAACAACTATCGAATAAAAATGTAAATCATCGACTTTTTTCACTTTGCTTATGCCTTATAAATTTATAATGCGTATGGAATGAGTAATTACTAAGTAATTAGTAAACGACGCTTTATATTTTATGTAGGTATTATAAAATTTATAATTCCCAATCCCAAACCGTGACCATCTGGATTAAGAAATAAATAATATTTACATTTTTCAACGTAACATAAGGTATTTAGTATTTATGAACTGTGTGTGCAATTGCAAATAATTCGTTCATTGAAGACAATTCATTCGAATGAATTACTTGTCCACTATCGAATTATTCGAATGGTTTGCGACTATCGAATAGTTCGATAGTTTTCATTCGAATGCGCGCATCACTAATTCTGTCACGCGTTTTAACGTTTCGTAAATCTCGAATGGCTGTTTCTCTTTCTCGTGTCGTCAATAGAAGCTCGAGCAATGAGAAGTGCCTCCCAAAAATTAAGTACTATTTTGTGGAAGGTTTTTAGCGAGATCCACCAAAATGTGGTATAAGTATGCACCGAAAAAGGAAATGTGGCCTCCGACAAGATCTTTTATCCATGGTTGAGTCAAAAGTGGCTAATAGAATACTGATCTGCCACACAAAAATGCGCTGAAGTCCCTTCGATCTCACACGAGGACTTTGATCATTTTTTTCCCTTAAGACCATATAGTACATGGACTGCTAATTGTAACTAAAATATGGTCAAGGACATCGCCTGGGTATGTGACTTTCAGGGTAAACGAGTCTCTCCGAAGTTGCCCGATTAGACACGATTTGAGACTGTCAACCTATAAATTAACAAATGTCAATTAATTAATCGCCTGCCTAGATATGGCAAAAAAGCAAAGCTGTGCTTATTTGTAGACGTATATAATCAAGAGTATTTAAAGCTTCCCGTACTACGCGGTTAGTGGTTACCATGAAAGCTACTCTTTATGCAATCCGAGTGATGTTCATACGACTTTAGTTTACCCCGAGATTCACATACCCACGACTACAGTGCCCTCTATCCGTGACCACCCATTTTGTATTGAAAGCATAGGGCTAATAGCAGTCCATGTACTGCATGTACTGTATGGTATAAGATTTGAACTGGTCAACTCGAAAAAACGCCTATTTAGTTTTATAATTAGGGATTTTCTTTTGGGTTTTGTTGGTAGTTTTTATACCAGTGGCGTACCAAATCGCTGTTTTTGTGGATTGTAAAAACCATTACTGTTGTGTATTTTGAGGTGGCACACTATTAGTTAAATTCACATGTCTTTAGTTTATAAATTATCCATACCACAGAAGTACAGAGAACTATTTATATCGAAATTAATATCCTAATTGAAAAGCGATGCGTAACTAACTAAAAAATAATAATTGACAATCTTTTTTTTCCCAGCAACAGCGCGAGATTTTTAGACTTAATTCTAATATTTAAATTGAGAACATAATAATTACTTTGGTAAACTTATGAACTGTACAAATGTAGTGTTGAAGATTCGTGGATGTGAACTGTGAAGTATTACCTACTGATAGAGTAAATTAAACTTGAAATTATAATTTTATAATTTATGTCACACTTCCATTGACAATGACAACAACATATATTAATCAAGATTACTGCAAGTAACTGCTATAATAATATTTTACATTATTAGCCAGGTAAGTGCGTTTTTACTGGCGATAGGAGAAGTTGACTGGCGAGCCATGGGGCGAGCCTGTCATCTCGTAGAGCCAGTAAAAACTATTACCTGGAGTATAATGTACAATATTTTATTTGTTACTCATTTGTAAACAATAGTAAACCAAGGAGTATTCGTTGTATACTCTTTGAGTAAACGTAAATAATTAGTTCTTAAATTCTCGACGAAATGTCTAAAATATCATGTAATCCATGTAACAGAGACTTCGCATTAATTCTGTCCAATGAAATTACTAGATTCCTAACTTGTAAAATTTTTACAGGTCAGCTGTCAGTTTTACAAGTCAGTAGCGTTTAAACATGACGTTTACCCGTTTGCGTTTTGTCTTGTTAATCAACGTTTACAACTGAGTAACAAATAACTCTTTTAACATGACATGTAGCATCTCTTTTCTTTTAGAGAGTACTAAATATAGTATTTTATTTGTTACTCAGTTGATAACGTTGATTAACAAGACAAAACACAAACGGATAAACGTCATGTTTAAACGCTACTGACTTGTAAAACCAAAGAGTATACTCCGCTATATACTCTTTGGTAAAACTGACAGCAGACCTGTAAAAATTTTACAAGTTAGTAATCTAGTAATTTCATTGGCCAGAATTAATGCGAAGTCTCTGTTACATGGATAACATGATATTTTAGACATTTCTTCAAGATCAATTTAAGAACTTTACGTTTACTATTGTTTACAAATGAGTAACAAATAAACTATTGTACATTATACGCCAGGTAATATCTTAATGGATGGCGCTCTCATCGTAACTGTCCTGTCTGACACTTTGACACAGATGACAGCTGATTTAGATGCAAATTGTTCAAAACCGCATTTTAAAAACAATTCTTATTCTTATAGCGTTTTCGATTGGCAAAACTCGTACTGCACGAGTGTTGCACGAGAAACTGAAGAAATCCATGTGAAAATTGCTCTCAATGGAACATAAATATTCGTAAATATTTGTTGTCATTTGTCCATAACCTCATTTTAGATTTAGGTAATCGACAAATCTCTATTCTAAAAAATGACAAAGATTTCAGTATTATTTATGATAAACGATGAGGAATATAAATTTGAAATTCCTGTAAAGGACCAATTTTTGGCTCACTTTAATGAGCAAGTGCAACTTTTTGTAAAGTTATGGCTAGTTCATCATCTTCGCTATCGCTAGATGACGACAAAAAACTTTCCCAACGCTAGAAACAAATTCAAATTGTCGCACGTTTGTTTTGAAAATTTGTTAACTAGCAGCTCCACGAGCTCTCGGACCTCGTGCGTTGAAATTTGCACTGAGTGCATAATTGTTGCATCACATTTGCCAATGGAACACAATTGCCCTAAAATTACCAATAGAACGTAAAAATTGCACTCGTGCAGCACGAGTTTTGCCAATCGAAAACGCTATTATTCTTAAACATGGCGGACGTAGATGTTATTGCAGGTACTTTTATTGGAAAAAACAACAACGACGAATTGAAAAGAGACGAAGAACTCGGAGAAGGTGGTGGATGATAAAAATTTATAGAAATCGCACCAAGCCCGTCAACGCATGTAATGCTACGTTTCCACGCTTCCGTTCAAAGCGACATTCAACGGGCACGAGCACGAGCATGTAAATGGGTTGCTGGTTGCTCGCCTCTGCTTGCTTGCTTTTGCTTGTGCTCGTCACCGATCCGGACTAGTGTCGGTTTTTAAGATCAAAGGGTGAATCTGTTTGCGTTCGTGTAATTGTTTACATGCGTGGACGGGCTTGGTGCGATTTCTATAAATTTGTATCATCCACCACCTTCTCCGAGCTCTTCGTCTCTTTTCAATTCGTTGTTGTTGTTTTTTCCAATAAAAGTACGTATGTCAAACCGAAAGGAACAGCTGCAATAACATCTACGTCCGCCATGTTTGGTTGTGAGCTTGTTCTGAGTTGTGCTTAGATGCGTGTAAACAGCTTGCTTTGTACGCGGCAGAGACTTGTTATAACAAGTCTCTGGTACGCGGTGATTCGCCGAGCAGCTTACCGAGATGCTTGCCAAGCTGCTTGCCGCGTGTGGAAACGTAGCATTAAACCTAGTTAAATTAAAAACAATGCGTGCGATGCGTCGAACCAACCGCGGGCGAATTTACTGGGCTACGTGTTTACGCTGGACGATTGATTTGATTTTAGTTGTTTTTATCGCAAACGTTCCTCGCAAGTCGCAATGCACGCATCGCATCGCCCGTACCGCAGCGCCCGTGTTCACGTAAGACATAGCGTAAGGGTCGATGCACATTTGCGTGTTTTCAAGCCGCATGCAAGTTGCGGGCGAACGGTAGTGGTTTAGCAGTCCATGGGCTCTAGTTGCGCTGTACACACTCGAGCAGAACCGCGGCGGACAAGCTGCTTGCAAAATAGCGTGCACCGGACTTTTTTTTTGAGGACGCCAGTTTCTGCTCCGCCCCGCCGGCCGCCGCATACTCGCCGTTTTCACAACACGCCGAGCAATCTGTGGCTGTACTAGGCAATCAACGAGTACACACTGATCGCACGATGGAAGTCGACACAGAGTTATTACCTGATGCTATTAAGAACCAACCGACAATATAGAACACAAGATCAGGACTGTTCCATGATAGAATAAAGATAAGAATTTCGTTTCGTCTCTGTGCGAAGATCTTGAAACAGGGAAACGAACTATAGCACTAACCATGTGGTGAACCCATATTGTTCTTTATTGTCATAAATATTCACACACTGAGAAAGCAAAAGTAACGCTTTGATATTTATCCATTTTTATTTATTTATTTATTATACCTTTCTTGTTCTGGGCCCTCAACAGGCTTGCGCCCAATTACAGAGTGACCCGCATAATGCTTTTTAGAGGCAGAAGGTCTTAAGTTGTTCTATACTACTCCGGTATTTACCTTACGAATTAGGAAAACTGCAAGAAACCCTAATTCGGAATAGCCGGCAGAATGCTCGAAACTGATCTAAGGTAATTCCCATCTCTGCCACAGACGAAAAATTCACCTCTTGGGAAAATCTTAGGAAATGCGTCTTTTTATAGCAGCGTCGCGTCGCAGCGTTCGGCGGTTCAAAACCGCTCCAATGTGTAATGACAGAAACACGCGGCTTAAAAACACGCAAGTGTGCATCGAGCCTTAGTGGAAAAATAAGTTCCTTTGTCAGAATCAAAAATGCGCTAAAAAAAATTGTAGCATATACATACATCTTGCAAAAGCCTAACACACAAAATATTTTTATTGTAGCATCTGTACAGGGTAGGTAGCAGTATAATAGGTACTTTAATTTAACTCATTCACGATGAAGAATGACGTACAATCCAAGGCATCCCAACAGAGCAAACTACAATGGAAGATGAATTATTAGGTAATTTATTACACATATTAATATAACGGAGAGCCGTTGTTTACCTTTAATAATGGGTAATCAGACATTACTACAGTCACCATTCCAATATATGGCAGAAATGCTTTTGTTTTACCAACTAGGTCATCTTTGTTTAACCATATTTTACCAGGTCCATATAAACCTCTATCGTCAACTTGATTATTGTCTCCTTTTGTTAAAAACTTAGACGTGCCATTTCGTCTATAAAAAATATTCATGTGAAACTACAATATCTGGTAAGATTTAAACGAAGAGTAATAAAGTGGTGTCTTTGCAAACTTGTCAGCATAAAAATGACCGATTGCCTCTACACAAAGTTAATGTCAATTAAGCACGTAAGAAAGCAGTAGAAATGTTTCATACTTTTCATGAAGTTTTAGTACTCTATGTACAACAGGTATACCATGGGTTTTCACTTTGAACACGATAACATCTCCCACTCTAATTGGTTCTTTGGCATAATTTGTTAAAAGTAGTAAATCACCCCTTTGATATGCCGGTTCCATGCTACCACTAAGAACGACCACAATAGGACTTTCGCAACTAGTTGCTATCATCAAACCTTTCCATATCATCAGTGCAGAAGATACTATCATTCCAAAGGACAACAATTGGTACAAAAACTACAATTTAGACACATAAAAAATGTATGCACGTACTAATCCTTATCACCTGTCTTTTATTCATCCGGCGAACTTCATCGCATAATCCAACAACATCCATTTCTGTTAAATGAATTTGGTCTTTTTCACGTGGTAATCGCGGTAGAGGCACAGTGAATACCACGTCAATTATTAGATAATGGTGGCTACATTCGATTTTGACCTATGAACAGGTTTTTGATAATCTGTGTCACCTGATTGTAGTTTAGAGATTACGGAATGTTTTGCTCGATATCGCGCGATGCAACTCAAGCACCGCTCACTAGAAATCTATATGTTTAGTTAATTGTCTGAAAGAAGGAGCTAGTTTGATGGGTTAACATTTTAAAAATCATCCAATTGATTTCCTATTTATGTCAGTCATCGGAACAACAACACTTTTAGGTACATACCATAAAGATAGAGATACTACATACGTACACCCCACAAATTCCAAGACGATCAAACAATCGACTCAATCGCTTCAGCAGCACTTTTACAATTCTCAAACACTGATCCAACACAAAAACAACGAATACCTAAAGAAAATTACACAGTTAGATACTTTAACTTACACACACACTAAATGGTTCACATTTTAACAAAATACGAATACATTAACAATGAAACAATCTTACACCAACTGCTATTGCATTTTTTTGTATATTGTGGCGCGGTTGCAGTTTCTATGACAATGAACAAACAACAGCACACAGTAAAAAACAACTTTAAAAAGTCATTATGCAAACATAAATGACGAGAGCGTCCTCATAATAACATTAATGCTAGGACCAGGAAAAAATACCGGTAGGCGCGAGATCCTTACCCCATTCTCTTTCAAATGAGCCGCCTATCGTCGAAGTCTATACAGTTTAATGGAAAGTAGTAGAGCCTATACAAATACATACAAATTTTGAAATGGGCATTAGTTTTACTTTTATTCGGAGTGTCTATATACACGGTGTCCATTTTTCGAGTGCCACTATGGGGATCTCCCTTACCTTAAGAGATAGAAAGTTGGTTAAATGGGGGCGAAGTTGAGAATTTCCCTGCTGAATAACCATCTGAAAAGAAATTTAAAATATCATCAATACTTCTGAAAATATCGCAAAAAAACGAAACTTTCTGATTTTCGTTTTTATTTTTTGTGATAAACTAGTCGTACTAGACATTTCTAATTAACACATTATTCGAACACTTTTCAATGGAGATTTCGAATGTGACATCTCGTTTTAAATAACTTTTAAGATGACAGAGAAACACGTGTCAACTTAAGTTTTTCTTATGGGCGCCATTTTTAATTTTGAGATTTTAAGATTACGTCTTTTTTTCTCTTTACGACGATATATCACACATGGTGGTTCAGTACCTACCTATCACATCAGGGAACTAGATGTGTTGAGAAAATTCGATTTTCATATGAACAGAATTGAACCTTCGTTTTAAAAGAAAATTATAATTCAAATTAGAACAAAATATATAAGATTAAATAATATTTTAGCAATAAAACTAGCACAAACGTAAATGACACTGTTTGAAATAGGTCAACATTTTGTTCACAACAAAACAACGTTTTGTTTTTGCGTAGCACTCTTCGCAGAAAATGAAATTGTATTTTTAGAAAAAATGTGATACTGAACCACCATGTGTGATATATCGTTGTAAAGAGAAAAAAAAACCTAATCTCAAAATGTCAAAACCCAAAACGGCGCCCATAAAAAAAACTAATGTTGCCACGTGTTTCTCCGTTATCTTGAAAGTTATTAAAAACGGGATGCCATATTCAAAATCTCCATTAAAAAGTGTCTGAATAATGTGTTAATTAGAAATGTCTAGTACAATTAGTTTACCATGAAAAAGTTAAAAATGAAAATCAGAAATTTTCGATTTTTTGCCATATTTTCAAAACTATTGAAGATATTATAAATTTCTTTTTAGATTATTATTCAGCACGAAAATTCGCAACTTTGCCCTAATTTAACCAAGTTTCTATCTCTTAAGATAAGCGAGATCCCCATAGTGGCACTCGAAAAATGGACACCGTGTATGGAACTTTTTATAAATGCTGTCGTAAATAGCATTGCGCATTGTCTACATTAGAAATTTCATTGAATACCTTCATAAACAAAACATACTTACAGCCTGCGTTAACAGTAATTTTGAAACCGATATTAGTTTAGTTTTAGTTTCATTGAAGGCGCCTACATATGATATTTCGTTTAACTGCTCTCATAAATAAGAAAGTTGGCATTGCGTTGGCAATAAAACGTAGTTTTCATGTTTCTCGAAGTTCCGCTTCCGCTTTTATTTTTATTTTATGTTTATTTTATGTTTATTTTATTTTTATTTTATTTTTATTTTATTTTTATTTTATTTTTATTTTATTTTTATTTTATTTTTATTTTATTTTTATTTTATTTTTATTTTATTTTTTTTTATTTTATTTTTATTTTATTTTTATTTTATTTTTATTTTATTTTTATTTTATTTTTATTTTATTTTTATTTTATTTTTATTTTATTTTTATTTTATTTTTATTTTATTTTATTTTTATTTTATTTTTATTTTATTTTCATTTTATTTTATTTTATATTTTATTTTTATTTTATTTTTTTTATTTTTATTTTATATTTTATTTTTATTTTATTTTATTTTTATTTTATTTTTATTTTATTTTTATTTTATTTTTATTTTATTTTTATTTTATTTTTATTTTATTTTTATTTTATTTTTATTTTATTTTTTTTTTATTTTTATTTTATTTTTATTTTATTTTTATTTTATTTTTATTTTATTTTTATTTTATTTTTATTTTATTTTTATTTTATTTTTATTTTATTTTTATTTTAATTTAATTATTTCATATTTATTTTATTTTCATTTTATTTTTATTAAATTTGTCATTTTATTATATTTTTGTTTTATTTTATTTTTATTTTCGCTCGAAGACAGGTGGTCATCTTCGGTTGGTAGCCTTAGTGTATCTGTTAATTCGCCTTAATGGGCGTCGCGTCTCTGTCTCTCCCGGCCCTCGCTCTCCCTTCTGCAGACCACTTCCGTCACCAGCTTTTGCACGGCGTTCCAGCCTTCCGGTGTGTTCAGCATAATTGGAACCACCGTTTCGTTGTCAGATGTTCGCCAACCTCTACTTCTGCTGCTAGTCTGCGCGCGTGCCATCTCGCGCACTCCAGCACTGCATGTCCTGGGTGGTCCAAGTTTGCACAGTCGACGCAGGATGGGTTTGGCCGTTTTCCGAATCGGTGGAGGTAGCTTGCGTTTTCGCCGTGGCCAGACAGAAACTGGGTCAGATAGTAATCGACTTCGCCGTGCACCCTGTTGGTCCATTCCCTGACGTCCCTTATCAACGTCCGTGTCCAGCTTTTCCCATCGCTCCTGCCATGCGTTCACCAGGCCGTCGACATCCCAGTTCTCCCCTCTCGCTTTCGCAGTGATACCAACTGGCGGCAACCCGGCTATCACCATGGCGTAATCCCGGTGTACCGTACGGTATGCGCAACATACTCTAAGAACCAGCAGCCTCGTGATCTGGTCCGTTCTCGCTATCACCACACCCCACCTTGTGGCCTCGCTCCATATTTTCGCCCCATACATACAGAACTATGGTTAGTGCGGCCGATGCTACCACTCTCCGCTTAGAGGCCCTAGCGCCGCCCGTGTTGGGCATTATCCGAATAAGTGCCGTATAGGCCCTCAAGGCTTTGTCGCACGCGTATTTGACATGCTTGATGTAACTCAGATTTTTGTCGAGCACGATACCTAGCACCTTGATGGTAGGCTCCGCGGTGATCGCCTGACCGAGCACCTCTATCGTGGCGTCCATACCTTGCCTCCTGCCGGTCATCATTGCCACTTTGGTTTTTTCTGGCATGTAGTAATGGTCCTGCGGAAAGAGCTGTGGACATTGCCAAAACACTGTTAAAGAAAGCTAAAGAGAGTAACTGTAACACTGAAATTAATCTTTGAATATAATTATTTTATATTCAAAGCACTAGTCAATTTGTATTTCAGTGTTATTGCAATTGGTTAGATCGCCAACAATACACACTGCTACATGTTCTCCTTGAGTGAAACCAACGATGTATCTATCCTTATCAGTTTTGCATATTCTCTTCATTTATTGTTAAACACAATAGACCATGTATAATGATCGAGGACTAATTATGTAAACAAGTTTATCGAAAAGCTGTACAATATTTGACTGGAGGTACACAAATACCCATTTCTGTTACCACAGATAAAATACCCAAGTTACCGTTGAATAAATTACTTTTATTTCATACTATCTAGTAATCGCCGCTTTCCCAGACCCATTTGAGTCTGGTAAATCGTATTTTACCAGACTGAACATTTTTACCAGACTGGAAATGTTGCCTAGCAACATCAACTGACGTCCATATAAACCTGTATATTAATGTGTCAAACTACAGTCAGATCAAACAAATCAAGTGATCGACTTTTGCTTTTATTTGAATGCGTACAACATTCTAATCAAAAATTGTATGGCCTTTTAAAAGAAAAAGAGCAGTATGAAATAAAATGTTTTACTTTATTTGTATGTTAAATCAGTTAACGTTACTCGTTTCGAAATTCCTGCCTCAGCTACGCTTCGGCAGTAAACATCTCACTCGTTAACGTAAACCTTGATTTACCATACTCATATGTAAATAACTATTATTTCATACTATCTAGTAATCGCCGCTTTCCCAGACTGATTTGAGTCTGGTAAATCGTATTTTACCAGACTGAAAATTTTTACCAGACTGAAAATTTTGCCTAGCAACCGCAACTGACATCCATCTAAACGTATGCATTGATATTTGTCAAACTACTGTCATCAAACAAATCAAGTGATCGACTTTTGCTTTTATTTTAATGTGCACCTACAACATTCTAATCAAAATGGTATTTTAATAGAAATAGAGCAGTATGAAATAAAATGTTTTACATTATTTGTATGTCAAATCAATTTACGTTACTCGTTTCGAAATTCCTGCCTCAGCTACGCTTCGGCAGTAAACATCTCACCCGTTAACGTAAACCTTGATTTACCATACTCATATGTAAATAACTAATTCAATGCATTTACTGCATTTTTCTATAATGACACCTTCTGTAAATTACCTGGTTTTCAGGTAATTAGTGGACTAGATTAGCATTGTTTGTTATAACATTTTTTAATTACCCCTTTATTTCTTGTGAGTTGTTCTAATCATTTTTACTGATTTCTGATTTATAGATTTTTATAGTTATTAGGTACATGTGCATGAATGAATTCACTTATTATAGGTATGGTAGATCCTAAAAAAACCGGCACTTCGAACACCTAAAATAAATCTTTCTTT